ATACTATAAATATTCGAGTATTTTTACATTACACGTAGTGGTGTACGTTGGCGAAAGTTAAATATACAGGTAAACCAAAACCCTGTTGAACTGCCAAAAAAGGCAATAGTTCACTGAAAGCGATTCAGTAGGAGACGTCCGCACAGACAGTAAAGGAAAAATGTATATGTAGTTTTTATTCCGCGCGATTTGTATATATGTTTATACATTTTTGGAAATTAATTTTGTGTATGCGTAAGGACCCCTTATTTAAAGAGAAATTCATCCTTTTTTTCAAATGACGGAACTTTGTTGTCAGCAAATAGCACAACAAGAGCAATATGGTACTGTAGGACAGACAAAATGATGAAAAGAATCTAACTAACGAACTGTCGGAACCACAGATAAGGCGGATAAAATTGATATATTCTGGTAGGTGTTGGCGTGGGTGAGACAAATGTAAGAGCAAACAATGCGGTCCTTGTGGCCTTGTGTGGACAATCTATTTTGAATAATCAATACGTGATATGGAAACATTGTCTACCTACCTCTACTGGGAAAATTAATTTTTTGAACAGAAACGTCGTGAATCTTTTGAAATTTAAAAAAGCAACCTGATCAGATAGGCAAAGGTGTGTGAGGTTATAAATTTAGGACTTTTTGGTAATGCTTTGCGCTCTTGTGGATACCAATGTACTGCAGTTCTATAAACAACAGTAGCCGAGAATGACTTAAAAGTGGGTAAAGACCTATTAGCTGTCTACCGAAAAGGGAACGGAAGGAACGCAAAATAAGTTTACTTGTTGCATTTAATCAGAAGTTGGATTTTAAAACCGACATATGGAATTTGATTTTATGCAAGTATTTTACACTTACCGGTAACCAGACCAGAAAGCAGAAAGAGACCTAGCAATGACCTCACGGCATGCTAGAATCAGTGCCTGGGCAATGCGGGAGTACCTACTTTAAAAACCAACATTGTTGTTTTTACATACACAACATAACAACATGATACATCCGATTAAATACTGTCGAATGATCAACAGTATTGCTAGAGAAATTGACGCGATGTTCCAACGCTATGTTTAACGGATCACTAGTAATTGTAGCAGGCGATTTCAGTTCAAAAGTAGATAAGCCAAGGGAGACTTGAACAAAGCTGTTTATTAACTGCTTAGCGACTCTGGCTGCTGGATCGTAACCGATAAAGAAGAAATGACATTTGCTAGCGCGACACGGTTCTTCATTATCAACAAGCTCGCGACCAACCTGGCTGTCTCCCAAGTTGCGTACCTTAAACCAAAAAATTTTACACGTTGGGCATCTATTACATGGCACATAGCCGTGTTAATGCGCATTTCCCTGCCAAGCAAGATACAGTAGTTCCAAAATGGACAGGTTTAACAAGATAGCTGGACACAGAAAAACAGGAGTATCCCAGTGAACACTTTCCAATCCCAAACCGATTCAACGTCAACAAATACAGCGCCGCCTTTCGAGAAACTCTAAGATGCTAATGAGCACAGATTTTGTCGTAATAGCTCATAGTTCAATGATACACGCAGGAGCGCTTTCCAGACATAGTGGGCGCCCGCCAACCCGCCTGGTTATAACCTGCCCAAAGATGCGTTTCTCGTTTATTATTTTACAAAGATGGTGCAAAGAGATTTATTGGACATAATGAAGAAAACACTTCGATACGCAGAAAGCTGCGCTTTTGTTGTAGGCGAAGCAGCATTTCTATAGATGTTTACGATACTCTAGATGTTCTCTCTGTTTCATCAGATCAAATACCCCTGTTGCTCATAACCGGCAGATGTACGCTGAAGTGCCCTTTACAACGCCTGTCTATGCGACAAATCGGCAAAAGAAACTCTTTATTGTTTGCCCGAATAACAAATGCGATCTTTGAAAACCAAGCTCATGTAGGGGAATCGCAAAAAAGAGCTGTTGCTACGAATTACTTTCGGCCATACTGATCACTCGCCTTTCCGATTTTCAAGAAACTCGAGGCATAATCCCGAATGAACAACGCGGCTTCCGTAGAGGACAGTCAAGAATCGCTACTTACCAAGGTAAGATCCGTCATAGGCACGAGGAGCACCAGAGAGTTCACCTATGCTGTATTCATCGATTGCAAAGCAGCATTCGATAAAACGAATCTCCCGAAGAACCCATTTTGTTCAAACTCGCCTAACCAGTCAGCCATACAAGCTCACTCAGCTCATCGTTTTGACTCAGCAGAAGAACCCCATTTCGATACAAGATGGCGAAACTGGATCTTTTCCAACAGGCGACAGAAGTGGGTTAAAACGATAAGTTTAGCTCCTTACTTCTCTCAGTTGTCCCAAATGACCTCCCACGTAGAACAATCGGAAAGCGGTAGTTCGTGAAAGCAGATGTTCTACTGTACTCTAATGATTTTGGAATCCACGGAACAAGTCCCTTTGACGTTTAGCAAACATTGACCTGCCTTCAGTAGCACATAACGAATGAAAGCCAACTAAAACCAAACTAAAGCCATTAAGTTCCGAAGTGCAGCAAATGATATTTTTCAGTTACACTCTACGCCTCTGGAATGTATAAAACACTTTTGCGATTTATATCTGAATTTATCCAAAACTTATTATACCACACATGTAACAGAAACCGTTAGAGAAATATTAGTGGTAAGCGCTGCCGTAGCAAGGTCGTCACTGCTCGTTCTAAATACGGCCATAGGCTTCTTCAGTGTCAAGCTACTACCTCCTATGGCATCAAACTCATGTAGGAAAACCTCAACATAGCCCAGTTGTGTAGGCTGGACCTGATAAAGCCGGCTTTCCTTAAGGGAGCTTTGGGTTTGCGTATATCCTGCCATAATTGCTGCGTGCATTTGCTAGCAGATACGCCTCTATTTGCTTAGGGTCTACAACCCTAGTTTGACTTACAAAAACACCCGCTGACCTGGAATTTATTCGACAACAGAAGGAACGGAGGACTGAGATTGACACAGAATTCCCTACCACTGATGCTGCGGTGAACGCAACATGGAAAGATTTGCGCAGAAAGAACCGACATCTAGTGGTCCGCTTCGCAGCGCCTTGGTTACACCATGCTGTGTGTGGTAATTAATCGTACCACAAGTCAAGCCAAAGCTGCATCTGTGACCAATGCGGAGGCCATTGTGGGCGATACCAGGCAGGCTTATGTTCAAAGATGCCTTCTTTGAATAATACGGCGCAAAGGAAAACAGAGGAGTTGCAATGCTCTGTGCTGTGTTATTTTTACTATTTTTAACATTCCTATCCTATTTTAAAAACGCTTCTCTGTTGTCTATATATAAGGTACCGGACAAAGATTTAAATAAATGTATAATTTTATGCAAATTAAATCACACAAAACATTCAACAACAATACGCCTGTGTAGGCAAACGAAAAAGTTTAACATTAGCATCTAAGAAAGTACGCGTGCAAGACTTTAAATAAGGTTTGGAAGATCGTAACGAACGACAGGCGGTAGAATAGAAAGCGAGCGTTTTATTGACAAAAGTATCATGAGGGCATTAACATAGAATTTAGAAAAGTGTATTATTTTATTTGTTCTGTATTATGAGAAACCTTTTTTGAGACTATTTGGATGCTCATCTAGCGTACTTGTCTACTAAGGCGTTTTTGAGGTCAGCTAGGATCAAAGGCTTTCATGTTAAAAAGTAAATCTCTTTGTGTGTTAAGATGTAAGTATTGAATCATATCGATATGAAAAGTTAGAAATCAAAATTCAATAAAGAACAAGATTCAAAATCAGAAGCTTCGTATTTAAAACGTAAACAAAAAAAGGTGTGGCGAGTAGTATGTATATATATAATAGATTGATTACAAAAGTCAGTTCTTATTAAAAACAATCAGTTGAAACGGAAAAGGAGCGCATACCATTTGTCTGAAAAAGTATTTGGAGTAAGTTGTGGACGGATAGACAATCATCGCTTATACCTGATTCCAGTAGATAAAATATGTAACAAGATATGCTGCTTAGTCAAATATATCATGTGATATATATGGTTGGCGAGGCTTGAACCCGTAGGCCTTCGCTTTCTTACCCATAGGTTTAGCCGCTCAAGCCATTAAAGTTTATAAATAGCCTTTAGATAAAGTCTAGTCGTTTATAACTCCTTTTAATTTATAATTCTGTTTGTCTACAATCGGACCACTGTTTTTTTGACCATAGAAAATAGTTAATCAATTCAAATTACTGTAAACAAGCTAATGCTAGTTTTCTAAACCTGTTTCTAAACCTAAATAATTTTGGCATGACTAAATTTAGGTTTCCTAAATATATGGTGATCTAATAATGAAGGCAACCATTTGTTATGATTTATTCTATAGAGTATGTGATTGTTCGGGCATAAATTTCTTCTAGCTTTCTTCCCTTTGCGGCACTGCTCTCTGTATTTGTGTAAATAAAAAAGGCAGATTCCTGGTACTGAATTCTAGAATTCTAGAAAACGGCGAAATTTCTTTGCCAAGCGCATTCAGTAAATTTTTATATCTAGATGTCTGCATAAGCATGTATTAGTAAACATTTTTAATATTTCGTACCAGCGGTTCTAAGCCTTTGGTAGCTCAGTATTCCAAAGCCTTTTCCCGTAGTGGATTCATAAACCGAAAATAACACTCAGTTAATCCAAATGGTTTTCGAAGCTAACTTTTTCTAAAGGTTTCAGCTGTCACATAATTTTTATTTCAGATTTTATTTATGAAGTGGTAATAGACGTTCTTATTTCGCACGATTTCAGTTCTTCTAAATGACTAAATGTTTCTTGTTCTTTTTGTTTGTACGAGTTTGTTAGTACGTTGGATAATAAAATATACTTTTAAAATCTATTTTATTACGACGAATATTTACCTATATGTAAATTTGTCTTTCTGATATCAATGATTAGAATAGAATATTAGCTCAAGAATCATATATTTGAACTCAGCCTTAACTGGGTAAAACTATACATACAAACATATTCTTACGAAATGACATTATGTTACAGGTTCCTTTGGAATTGGATCGGACGGGCTATTTGTTGCTAGTTAACACGGTTGTTGTGGTCATCCTATGGCTGCATTACAGTATCCGTCACGCATTTACTCTCACAGCAACGTTTCGTGTATTTCTAGAGAAGAGCGCTTGGGTCTGAAAGCGAGTAACTGCAAGTGGACACTAGAGATGTCGAGGATGGCTAGTGGAGGGTGGAAAGCACGATGGCGTCTATAGAGAAGTTGCACGATGGAACGGATACAACCGGCGATGGACGGCCGCATGGGTGTCCGGCTGTGAGACGCCCGGTAGTTCCGACCTGACAGCGATGGTGGCTTGTTTATCCAAGATGCATGTCCTGCGGCTAGGCAAGCTTATACAGCCTGCTCGGCAGACCAGTTTCTGCAGGCCATAGAACTGTTGACCAGCTCTGCCGCTCCGGCCGTGAGAAACAGCCTGCTGTTCGCTCCCTCGGGCGCAACGATCCTGAACTCCCAACTGTGCCCCCCTTCGCCCCCTCATCCAGCTATGGTCGGCCGATCAGCCGGTGCTCTCCGCTCCCACTTAACAGAAGCACCCGAAGGAGAAGTTACAGTACACACGGTTGGCGTGCCGACAATGCTCACAGATTCCTGAAATGTTCTTTACTGCAAGCATATTAGATTGAATGTATCTCCACGCTTTCTTCTGCTGGCCCATTGTCTATGATCAATTCGTCGGACTATTTCTTTTTTGGATGCTTGCTTTTCTAGCGGGGTGAGTTTGCCTTTTCATTGTCTTCCGAATATACTCTACCTTATTTAATTCTTGATGAGTTTTTGCTTATAAATTAGCACATGCGGTGTGCATTTATGCTTTAGTATCGACATATACTTTAAATATATACATTTACTTTCAATCGTAAAGCATTTAAATATATAGATATATTGCGTAATATGACAAACATATCATTGATAGGCGCACTAAAGGCCATGAAGAATCACGGATTTTAAACGTCATGTGCTCTCTAGAAATTATATGTCGAAATTAAATCCTACTATAACGAAAATGAGAGCTTCCATAAAGCTATCCCCATTCAAATGGTTCCTTTTTGGCTCCATTTTTGTTGGCTATCTCTTAAAAACAATTTCGATGTAGGAAGATTCAAAAGCACAAAGTGCTTATTGCCCGTTCTTCTTCTGCTTACCTCGAGTTCAAAGAATGTTAGATTAATTTTTATTGATCTTTGTAAAAAGGTATGTCTATATAAACACATACTGTTATCACATCTCATCGCATGCTTGCTAAGATCTTTTAATTCTCTTTGGTAATGTCCTCCAGACGCACAAATTAAAATATCGTAATTGGGTATAGCTGACAATAAATTAAAAAATATATAAATGTTGCAACTTTGTATTTCTCACGCTACGTATCAGTATTTTTAGAATCAATGCTTGTTTACTACAGAGTAGCCATATCATATAAAGCACACAGCTTGCCCTAGCATTGAACACCGCAGTTGTTGATTTTTCAATTCAATCGGCTTGAAACGAAGATCCACTTGGCTTGCAGTAGAACTTTCATATTCTTTGTAAAGCAAAAAAATTGCGTCCGTAGCCTTGAATTTACACTACGTTTGTATTTATTATATCAGACATAAAGGTCTGCGGAATAGAGTGATTTATCGATAAATGCGGTCCACCAACCGTATGTAAAATATATATACCGTAATAGGTTATAGAGCAGCCCACGAGATAAATCCCAAGACCGTCGGCGCTTTTAAAAGAACAGAAAAAGATAGTGAAATGTCTCGGTGAATTAAGCGATGCAGTTTCGGATCGGTTAAGTTAACTCAGTTATATAGGACTAACCAATCCCAATTATAAACGAAAATAATTTAAATATTATTTTCCGCATTTGATACTTAGCTATACCCGATACATATTCCATAAAATGTTGCCACGATATTTATCTTTCAGTCATTGTTTTCAACATTAAGGAAACGCTATTGTTATAACCATTGTTGTACCCCCTTATTCACAACTATCCTCCTATAAACGACAGTTCTATTAAGTGACTGCAGTCACTTAGTGGGATATTACTACCTAAGAACATTTCTTCTCTAGTTAGAAGTCATTTAAATTTTTGAGTATCGCGTCATTTTCTTTGCCACTAGCTCTCCATGTCAAATATGCCTCTTTATTTTTAATCAGCAAACACTTAGACTGTCGACGGCTTTCTTGCGGCAGGCCCATATTTTTCGGTAAAATGCTTTAACCAACGATTATATCATCCCGTTGCCCGTTAGTGAATCACAGGGTCTTTCCGCGTGACTACTTATTCTCATTGCGGCTGCCACTTGTTATTTTCACCCGAGCCTTGACTCCCTACAACCATTTTCACATCTAAGTTTTATAGCCTTTACCCCAGCGGTCTCTTTCTTTACAATGCATTACTGTGAAATCCCTCGAACAGGCCACCCCTAATCACTCATTACTATTCATAAGAACAGCCTTTTCTAATCGTTCAGGAACTAAAACAGCTCAGTGATGCACGCACTCATTAAGAATTAAATATCTTTCCTGTATAATACGACAACTTCGTTGTAATCCAATATATTTTTGTTCCATACGTGTCAGGGAAGCTCCGTCAATTAAACGTATTTATACTGCTGCCGTCCATCTGCTTCGACACCGTATTCTCTGACTAAACCACACATTCCGCCTAGGCCATACTCCTCCCTGATTTACGACTAAGACCTACCGCTTTGACTGCGCTCAAAGCTTCTGATATGCTCCAGTATCCACCTTTGGTAGCCACTGGAACATAGCGAACAATACAACTCGCGCGCTCCGAAAAATAGCACGTCGCCGGTCGGCATACGTTTTGTTTATGCTAAGGATTGCGAATACCAAAACGTCGACTGATTTCGGCGCACTGCCAAAATTCCACATTCTCGCCATGATGCAAAGCATACTGCTTCTTTTTGGTCCCTGGCTGCATCTATCATACACTACTGACTATAAATGATTCACACGAGTGTTATATGCCGTTGTTCGAACTGTTAGATAATGATTGTATTCGTCATGCAAAAAGTACGGCCAAGCAATGAGCTTTATTAATGTGTTCGTCAAAAAACATGTTGAAATAATTGTTGCCCTTTTATAGTATTTAGTAACAATCCTTACTCTTTGTTGCCCTTATAATATATAGTTCTCACTCTGGCTCAAATTAAGGCTTGCTTCGTAAAATGAAGATCCAAAGAATACCTAGAAAGTATCAAGAAGTAAGGTTTTTCTAAACAGCAATTCTTGAAGACCGGGATTGATAAAGAGAGAAGCGAAGCTTTACGTTTTCACGAATTCCCAAGTCCCTAAACTCGAGAAGTGAAATTGTTTAAACTTCGATTACGTTAATTACGGAGCGTTGCAATACATGAATCAGTCTACTCTGAATCGACCATAAGTAGCCTTCAACAATCTTTAGCTTTAATGACGGTTTTTTTTAGAATTCTTATATCCACAATCTGGAATGTAAGTCACAATTAAAACGAATTTATATAAGAAGACTCATTTATTTATATTAAAAAATAAAATGTCTAGGTGGGTTCTAGTCATTGTTTTAAGATACCTTTTTTTCGTACTGTAAACCATATATGAGTTCAGAAATACCAGACTGCATATCCATGCGGTTGTTGATTTATTATTTTTCAGAACTGCGCCTTGGGGATTCGTTTAGGAAGTGTAACATTAGGATAATTATACTTGTATGTAAGCCTTCAGTGACTTAACTAATTGAAGTAAAGCAATTAAGCTGAAAAGCCAACTGCAAAGAGTACAGGTTAAGGTAAAATTTTTATTGAGTTACTTTTACTCTAGTTTTTTAAAAGGTTTTAAAAAAAGCGTTTCCCATAGCTGACTTTTAGCTATTCCCTAAACGGCAGGCGTTTGTATTGTTGTTTTGTCATTGATTCAAGGGAATATCAGGGTAGGCAACTTAGTACAAGCAATTTGGAAGGTAAATAACTACATCGGAGTGAACGGCCTCAGATTCTAAAGAATACAAGTGTACTTTGAACCCAATGTGTAGCGAAATGTCACACTATAACAAAATACCGCCATTTTGAAATATGAGATGAACGTTTGCTACATCTCACGTTAAACTACCTTATATACTTGATGTGTATATATTTTTCAAAATGTTATAACATAAAGTATTTTCAAAATAAAGAATGTCTTATTAATGAACGGTTTTTTAGAAAGCTACAGTTCAAACTAATTGTCGGAGACTTGCTTCCTATGGCTCGATTATCAAATGCAAATTGTTCTTGTGTAAGCCTGGCGAATAAGATATGACATTCAAGCGGTAGATATAATGTATTACGCCAAGTAAATAAAAAGAAAAGCAATTTTCCAATAAAAGGCTGTTTGGTGTTGCCGTTTTGCGATTCGTGATGCATTTTTATAATCACCTTCATTATGTGTCTTGTCCACTTCGCTAGCCTTTAAATGGATGCGATGCGTCAGCCAACCCGAAAGGCTGCAAAGAATTGAGATTCTGGTGATGCTGCTTTGAGTAGGTTGGTGTTTGTAGATAATTTAGACAAGCAGCAACCTGAGACTAATCCTTGCCCCCGGCACCTCTGCTAATATAGCTTCGGAAGGTACAAGCAAGGCCAGAGTGGGCCGGGCACAGCCTGATGAAAACTTACCCATATCTATGGCCGCGAGGTAGCTTTGGGGACAATGTCTCAGAGGCAGCGACAGGCGTCGAAGTACCTGAGTCATTGAGTAGAGCGCTTAAAAGTTTCTCTAGTACCGAGGCTGCATTAAGTTTACGTAAGTCGGTTGGAATAAATGACTAGTTATTAATATTAAAGACCTTTTCTCTTATAGCTCACCGTTCATTAATGAAACATAGCTAACAGAAGTATACCTAATATGTTTACGATTCTACAGTAATTTGTTTCATATATTTAGCCAAGCGTGTGATTTTTTTCTCTACTGTGTTATTCCTAAACCCATAACGACGTTTAGCTTAATAAAATTACAATTCATTCCTCCCGGGCTAAAAACCAACTTAAGTTAACCTAAAAAGCAATCAGGAATCCCTTACTTCACGTGACCTTCTCTCAATGTAATCTATCTCTACATATGTTCTCCACTCGAATCATATACATTAAGCACGCTGTACAGGCTTTCTTTACATCTTTAGGCACACCCGCTTAGGAAGAAATAGGATATTTAATTTATGCTCAACTAATTAAGAGCACATTAAAAAATCGATCATTTAGGATTTGGTCATCTCCTTTGTTACTGTTTACACCTGACCTTCATGTTTATTAGAGCTTTATAGAGAGTTAGCAAATCGTTATGTTACCTACCGTACTATTTGCGTCTCATTTGCTGCACTCTTTCTGGTCGCAATTGATGACGCTAATATACTACTATACGACGTACGTTATGCGATCTTTTTGATTATCTGGCTAATTTCATACCTAAGAAACACGGGTCCAATTACGGGAACATTAGCAATAAGTGCAAGGCTGTAAATAGTGACGATGAGGACACCAAAGATGTTTTATCCATTCAGCGATCAGAGGGGTAGAGACAACATCGGAGCAGGAACCCGAACCCCCCGGAAGAGTGCCAGGACAAGACAAGAAGGCATGCAGTATAGGAGATGCTTTAGAGAAGCTTAGAGCACTTATTCGCCCCCTGTCTGGGCTACGAAAGCTGTCTCGCTAGTACAGCTAAATACTCTTGTTTAACCAACTG